AATAAAATTATAATATATAGGGTTAAATTAATTTAATATACGATTGTAATTGTAAATAAATATATAAATATTTAATAGAAGGGTTATAAATAAAGTTTGTGTATAAAAATAAGAAGGTAATAAATAATAGTGCTAAATAATAATGCAATTGGAACAAAAAAAAATATTATGGTATATTAATATATATTACTTGGAGTTTTGAAAAAATAAAAAATGACTTTAAAAAAATGATAATTATTTCACAAAATTTTCCAATCAAATCTTAGTCCCTAATTTTGGAAATTTTTATTACTAAAAAGGATGGGGTCTAGAATAATTTGCCTGAACCCCGGGGGTTCATAAATTTCACCCTGAACCAGGGGTCCAGAATAAGGACGCTCCAAGTAAAATTTGGCCGCCTAAAAACTTATTTGCTGGGACTAAGTTGTATGCACTGTATTAAATTTATTTTGGATTTTATTAAAAATCTCAAACCTATTTAAAAAAATTTTAATACATATCAGTTGACTTATTTTTCGATCATGTAATATGGTTTGATGGTTTGATTTATTTTTGGCAATTAATTTAAATTAAAATAATATTGCTGATTATAATAGCGGAATAATTACATAATTAGTAAATAATTTGAATAATTGCAATTTTTTTTAGAAAACTAATGCAATAAACTTGATACTACTGCAATCCTATCAAATACAAACTACAATCATTAACCTTCCATAATTTCCTAATGAAAATAGATCATTTCGTGGGGCAAAGGAGTTATCCCCAAATGAGCAACAATGAACGCGTTTCCCCAATATGGACACTCACCTATTATAAACTAACTGAAATAATATTAGTTCTTTTCCAATTTGAAGAAAGTTTATTTAATTTAAAAATTTCAATATATGCTATGTATATCATACGTCTATTTTTTCTCCCGTTTGGGACTTTTTAATTCCGTTACCTCTTTTACAACTTTCTAAATTTGGGTGAACGTTCATATAACACTTGAACACACTTGAACACACAACGTCACATAAATTACTCAAGATGTAAATACACTGATAACTATTTTCATCTCGTGGCCAAATAATATTTTAATATTAATTTTTTTTTTTTTTTTTTTTTTTTTAACATTAATAATGAGTGACGATTTGATAGAAGAGACCGTTAAGGACAAAAGCACTCTTAACGACTTAGCAGAATTCACTATTTCTGAAACAATTGGCTCCGGAGGTTGTGGTACAGTAGTAAAAGCTTATTGGAAAAGAAAAGGGTTAACAGTTGCTTTAAAGAGCTTATACATCGGAAATAATAGCGTTAGAGAATTTATTAAAGAAGTTAGTAATATTGAGAATTATGGCATCATTTAAAAGACTGCGTATTGAATGTTTTCTTTCCTTTTTTTTTTTTTTACTTACTTAACTTCTAAAAATCTTGTAGCTTGAAATTTTGTGCACGATAAGTTTGCATTATCACCAAAATATTAATCAATTCTGCGGGGTAGCCAAGGATAATAATGTTGGGCGTTATTTATTAATTCTACAGCATGCAGATGGAGGAAACTTACGAGATTATTTAGCTAAAAACTTTAAAAATCTCGAATGGAAAGATAAAATACGGATTGCAAGAGAAATTGCGCAAGGACTTACCTTTTTACATGATTTAAAGGTCGTTCATAGGGATCTTGTAAGAATCACATGTTCTTAAAAATAAATTATGAATTTTTTAGAATCTTTAAACAAATATTTAATAAAAATATATATATATTTTTTTATACAGCACCCTAAGAATATCTTGGTACACCAAGGTACAATGATGATAGCAGACTTTGGTATATCAAAAAAAGATGACATTTCAACATGGTCCACTCGTGCAGCTCAAGGGATACCTGCGTTCATAGAACCGAAATATTTGGCAGACGGTACTTATAAACGTAACGAGAAGTCTGATATCTACAGTTATGGAGTTGTCTTATGGGAAATATCAAGTGGTCGTCCTCCCTTTGAAAATCTGATGCCATTTGAAATGATAATTCGAATACATCAAGGTCTGAGAGAAACCCCAGTAGAAGATACGCTGAAAGATTATGAAGATTTATATAAATATTGTTGGGATCAAGAACCTTCTGAAAGGCCTGATATTATGAAAGTATTTGACAAATTGGAGGAAATAATGGAGAAATTAAATGTTGAAACAGAAACAGACGATGTAGACAAATTACATGAAATAGACCCGGATCATAATAATTTTGATGCAGAAGATCTGACAGACGAAGTGAGCTCTAATACATCAAGTTCTGGTCCTAGTGTTCATTCTTGTTCTGGTTCTGGTTCCGGTTCTGGTTCTGGTTTTGGTACCTTTGGTATTACTTCAGGTACTGGTATTACTCCAATCCCCCCTCAATCAGGTACTGGTATTACTTCAATCCCCCCTCAATCAGGTACTGGTATTACTTCAATCCCCCCAATTCCCTCTCAACAAATGATTATAAATCAATCAAGCTTGATTAAAGCAGAACATTTCTCACTCATTTCTCATTGGATTAATCAAAGGCACAGAAATCCTTTTGGTAGAATTTTTATAAGGCCAAACTTGAGAAATATTCTTTACAAGTTTAAGCTACTTCTTAGAGGAAGTCGTGATGGATTTACACCAACAATTTTTCATGAAAAATGTGACAACAAAGGACCAACTTTAACTGTATTAAGGGTCAAAGATACCGACGAAATTTTAGGGGGTTATAATCCATTTAGTTGGGAATCCCCACCTGAATCAAGATATTATTACACGACCAAAAGTTTCATTTTCAATCTAGATTATAATAGACCAGATAATTCAACACTTAGCAAGGCAAGGCTTCACGAGTCAATTAAATCAGGAAAATATCATGGACCTTATTTTCGAGGTGATTTATGCATGGAAGGAGATTTTAAAAATGAAACTAGATGTTCGTGTTATAAATGGTATTATGAAAAAGACATTAGATCAAGAGAATATATTGGGCAAGGATATTTTTCAATAGAAGAATATGAAGTTTTTCAAATTACAAGCAAAAGAGAAGAAAAGAAATTTGAATTTTAGAATTTTTACATTTTATTATTATTTAAAAGAATCTTAATTAAAATTATTCTTTATAACTTTATAAAAAAAAGATTTCAAAAAATTTCGTATATAGTGTGTCGACTGGTCGATCATATTTTTTATTCCATAATCAATATATAATAAAATATGAACATATCTTGTCATCTGTATAATCTGTATACATATATATATATATATATATATAGCACATTGTAACTATTTATTTATTAAATAAAAATTCATATTTTAATTAAGTTATGCAATGTATATTACAAAAAAAAATAAATCTAAGAAATATATATATGTTTTTTTTTAATTAATGAATTTAATAAATAAATTAAAAAAAAGATAAATTGACTGATTATATGCTAAAAAAAAGTAAATATGTAAAATGAATTTAAAGAACCAAATTTTCTTGTTAGCCACTCATATTATTACTGATATTATTTGTTTGAGTAGGTGGTGGCGGTGGTGGCGGTGGCGGTGGCGGTGGCGAAGGTGATTGTAAAGAAGGTTTTGAATGAAATTGTTTATTCGAATATTTTTCTTCTTCTTCTTCTTCTTCTTCTTCAAACAAGGTATCATCATTGGATAAAGGCATTTTACTAATATATATATATATATAATCAAATTAATATATTGAATTTTTTGAATTTTTATATTGAATTAATATATTGAATTAATATATTGAATTAATATATTGAATTAATATATTGAATTAATATATTGAATTAACAAAAACTAAAAAAATTTCGAAAAAAGATTCCTAAACATAAAAACTTACCCCCGAGATTTTGCACTTTTATATTGATCCCTTACTTCATTTAAATCTGAAAATGGATCTAGTGAAGAAGATGGCGATGTTCCACTAAATATACAAATGAATGTTAATGAATTTTAAATGAATTTTAATTATTAAATAGTTGATAAAATTAAAAAATTTACCTGCCACCAACTCCAGCAGCAAAACTTTCTGAATCTACTGAATTATAATTATTTCTAATAATAGTATTCTAAAAATTAAATTATTTAGTTATATCAATAATAATTCACATCAAAATTATAAAAAGTCACTTATAACGATAGCAATAAAAAATAACAATAATAATACCTTTGAATTTTGTTTAGCAATCTTAACCTGTCCTCGTTCTACCATATCCTCATATAATTTAAATGAACTCACAAATTCTTGATTTACTGAAAGAAGTGTATCTATCAATTTAACAATATATATATATATAAATGATTATTAATAAACATTCCATTTGAAAATTTGAATAAAATAAATATTTTCTATTAACTTACTTAACCATTGTTCATCTTGAGTTTCAGAAATGTAATTAACAATATTTTGATTTAAAGCTTTACATTTTGAATAAAATTCCTGAAATAATATAAAATAAAAATAATATAAAATAAAATGTAAATATAATATAAAAATATAATATAAAAATATAATAAAATATTACCTGAATCAATTCATTTTTCGTAATATCCTCACTTTCAGGATCGGTGAATGAAATTGTTTGTGTAAACAATTGAATAATATTTTTGGATAATTCGATATCTTCTACAATTGTATTTATTGGAGTCTATTATATTTTAAATAATAGAATCGTAAGATCTCTTCCGTCCTTTTTTTTTTTTTTTTTTTTGTAATAATAAATTTTGGAATATATTAAAAAAAAACATACAGGATTATCGGAAGATTCCAATATAATTTGGCTTTCCGGATTATTTGGATTATTTATAAAAACTTTCTACGATATCAAAATAATATCAAAATGATATTCATATATTGTATTAAAATTATATACAAATTAAGTCGAAATAATCGTATCGAGATAAAATATCACCAAGAAAAAGAAAAGAAAAACTAAATAATTAAATTAAATTTCATCACTACTAAACTAATAAATATAAAATAATTAATAAAATTTACCTGTTGGTCATTAGATGTTCTATTATTTGTTAATCTTTGTACTGGAGGATTATCACCAACCGTAAGTTTATTATAAAGATTACTAATTAACCATAAACTTGGTTCATTTAGAAACATCGTATTTAAATCTTTAAGTATTTCAATTATTTTTTGTTTAATAAATATCTCAGTTAAAGGTGATGTTACTACAAATTCTATTTCATCCAAGAATTTTTTTGATGCAATTTCAGCTAAAAAATTAATAAATTAAAAGTTAGAATTGAAAATTAATAAATTAATAATAATATATTATATAAATTAATTATGTTTGTAAATCATTATTTACCATGAAATTTGGCTCCACAATTCTCAGCCAAAGATTTAAATATCTGAATAAAAATAATATAAGTGTAAAAATATATATATATATATATATATATATCGTTAGAAGTATTCGATCAAATATAAAGAAGAAGAAATTTTAAAAAACTTACGGTCAAAACTCTATACTGTAAATTAGGCATTTGAAATTTGCCTATCTTTTTCCTAATAAATTTGGCTGCTTCTTTGGCTCCATTCTCGTAAGCGTTAACTTCATCACATATAGAATATATCAATCCCCAATCTTCATCTCTTTTATGAACACACGCCTCTAAAATGATATGGATTATGATTAATTTGTTGTAAAAAGAAAAATAAATTGAAAGTATTATAAAAATTGATGAAACAAAAGAATTAAATGGAATTTTTAATGGAATCGAGATGAATATATCAATTTTACCTAAATATTCTGTAATTAACGTTTTATTGGACTTATCAAAAATCCCCATGTTTGATATTTAACGTTTTTTTTTCTTTCCGAAAACTTGTTAATGAAAGTATAAAATGCGAAGTATATGTTCAAATCTTTCTTTCTTTAGAAATTTACGATTTTCAACTTTAAAAATTTAAGAAAAAACTGGTGTACTATAATAGTTCACATTCTACCTTTTATATTTCATTTGTACACTAAAGCACATATTACCTTTTAAGGATTAGAATACATTTTGCATTCATACAAGAAAATTCAAGAAAATTTGTGTATTGTATATTATATTGTTATAATTGTATTATTATGTAACTATATTACTAAAAATAATATTGCTATTTGATTAAAAAATTGAACTTCTATAAAAATATACAGATTTTTATTTGATTGCATTTATAATGAGTTATTTATGAATTATATGAATCTTTTCAAGGGATGAAAGAATATTGGCTAAAAGAAAGAAAGAAAGAAAGAAAGAAAGAAAAAAGAATTTAAAAAATATTTCCTAATTATCAAATTTTAAAATTTCCAAATTCTATTCTTTAAAATAGATATAAATGTGTATATATATATATATATATAAATTAAATATAAATGGAATAAAAATTAATGAATTAATGAAATATGAGAATTAACTTAATAACACGCTCTCATAAAGTGAAAAAATTATTCCGGAACCAGCACCAGCGTAAACCACACCATCAGTAATAAAATCTCTAATATCTTCAGCCCAATCAAAATGACCAGTTGTAGCATAAAAAATTGCAAATTGAGCGACTGAAAAGGAAAGAGGGCTTAAAGAATTACGTTGCGTTTCAAGATTAAATACATATGAGAAAATGAGTGGAATGAAAAATAAATAAATTAAAAATGAAAATAATGGACGCCAGAAATGGTGCCATTCCATAATAACGAAAATATCAGGTCCACAGAGATCGAAATCAAAGGTATTTCTCGTTCCTTTAGAACTAAAAGTTGGTAATGGTACGGTAGCGATCTATATATTATTATGATATAAATATGATATTGATATAATATTTATCATGAATGAATGATATTAAAATGAATAAAGGTGACAAATATTTTTTTTTTGTAAATTAATTCACAATACCTTTAGATTCCATTCAATAGCGCGAGATAGAAACACACAAAGTTCGAGGAATATAATGCATTGTACATACGTTCGAGCATTGGAAAAATCCTATTAAAAATAATAAAATTGATAAAATGATAAGCGATAAGAATGATAAAAGGGATTGATAAAAAGTGATAAAAGATTTCATACTCTTCTAAATCGAATAATAAATTCATTAATTCGTTGGAATCGGGTAAATTGAGTAGTTGTAATCGCCACTACACGTTCTACATTTGTTTCAACTATATCAGATTCACCCGAACTTGGTAGGTTCCGATAGATGGGAGCGGCAGGTACTTCCTGCGGTGGTGGTAATGATGGTGGTGGTTGTGAAATGGTCAATTGTTGATTTATAAATGAATATGAAGTTTCCATGTGATCATTTTGATCGTTTTGATCGTTTTGATTCTTTTGATTCTTTTGATTATTTCGTCGTGATCGTTTTTTAACTTCCACATCTGAAGTTTCCGATTCCTCATCAGACGCTCTATATAGAAATGAAATAGGTCGAAATAATAATTAATAACATATAATAAATCTCACATTAAACATTTAATAAATAATATTAACAAAATTAATGACATAATAATATGTATTAATTAAGTAATAATTACTTTTCTCCCTCATTTTCAGCATCAGAAGTGTGCTTAGGAATGTTACCGGCACTGGGTTTACGACTTGAGCGTAACGTTGGAGTGTTACTTGAAGTGCCGTAAGCCGTTTCTGGCGTATTCAACGTTTCTTGTTGTTTTAAATATTTTCTTAAAAAAAATTATATTAAAAAAAATATATGATATTTAATATCAAAATAAATAATAAATTGTATCTATAAAGATAATTATGAATGACAATAATAATAAATATAATAAATACTTAATTCTTTCCTCAAGGTCACCACGTAAACCTGTGGGTTCTAGACCTAAACTTTCCGCAATTTCTAAGAAGGATAAAATTATGAATATTTTAAAAAAAGATCTCGATTACAGTCGTTTATTAAATGAACGAGCAAGGCAATAAAAATAAGATAAACAAGACTAATGAAATAAACTTTCGTTTATTACCTCTAAGTTCATTCTTTCTTTTTAATCTAATGGTTCTAGGTGTGATTGTTGCCATTTTAAATTTTGAATGTTGTATAAAAAAAAAAAAAAATAAAAAAGATTTTTTATAACAAAATTGTTTAATATGTTAAGGTTGAAAATTTTTTGTGTATGCTCTTATTTTTTAAGTTCAACTTTTATATCAGAAATTTTGTTATCACGAGCACGAGTGATTTATTTTAATTGCCAGGGAAACTCCTTATTAATACTTATTATTATTCAAAGGTATTATTCTTGCAGGCACGCATACATGCATATCTGCATATCAGATATTCATTTATTCATGTGACTTGTTTTATAAAAAAGAATTTCAATTAGTGATTTCAAAACAAAGGATTAAAATGGATTTTCAAAATAGACCAGGTGAAATATTCAATGTTTAATATGTTTGTATACGTATATTTATGTATGTAACATAATTAACACGATCTTCCTTGATATATAAATATATATAGGTTCGAAGGTAGGTAGTGGTGGTGTAGCTGGATACTCTGAAACCAATGTAGATCGACGAGAACGTCTTCGCAAACTTGCGTTAGAGACTATAGATTTAAACAAAGATCCGTATTTTATGAAAAATCATCTTGGCTCTTATGAGTGTAAACTTTGTTTAACTTTACATACCAATGAAGGTAGTTATCTTGCTCATACTCAAGGTAAAAAACATCAAACCAACCTTGCACGTCGAGCAGCTCGGGAAGCCAAAGAGAACAATAATATTCAACCCGCTTTACAAACTCAAGCTAAAATTCAAGTGAAAAAAAATTTGGTTAAAATTGGTAGACCTGGTTACAAAGTAACTAAAGTTCGTGATCCAATTACTAGGCAACTTGGATTATTATTTCAAATTCAATATCCTGAAATTGGATTAGATGTGATACCTCGTCATCGGTTCATGTCAGCTTATGAACAAAGAATCGAACCACCAAATAAAGCACATCAATATTTACTCTTTGCAGCTGAACCATATGAAACAATAGCTTTCAAAGTACAAAGTAAAGAAGTTGATAAAGGAGAAGGAAAATTTTTCACACATTGGGATCCAGATTCTAAACAATTTTCATTACAATTCTTTTTCAAGAATGATAGACCAGGAATGTATTCTGAAGGTATGCCACCTGGTATGGAAAGAGCTCCTATTGCTAATCCTTTGAATCCATACAATGCACCAGCTATGAGGGGACCAACTTATGTGCATAATTAGAATTTTTGAAAATATATCATTTATGATTGTGAAATAGAATTGCTATTTCCATTTTTATTCACTATTATCTTTTTTTTTTTATTTTTTTTGAAATAAATGTAAACTTTATTTTTTTTTTTTCAACTTTCACTTTATTTATTTGAATGTATACTAGTCTTTCACTTTTCCAATAAATAATTTTATAATATACTTACATTCTCTTTCTAATAAAGTTAATTGATGTACCTTAATAAAATTATAACATCAGCACTAATGATAGATGAGAGGGTATAATATATAAACACTGAAAGAGATTTTTGATGCCTAAGTTGTTCAAGATGAATAAAGTAAAGTTATTTTACATAGACATGTTAGTTCACAATCAATTATTTCATAACAAGACTACTCCAGGAAATGACTAAGATGATTATCAAAAAAAAAAAGAGTGAAAAATAGTTATTTTAGTATAGAATATACATGTTGTCAAAAGTAAAAAGCCTTTGACTCAATTATTGAAATTTTAATTGTCTATGCAATGTGTCAATTGCATCAATTTTTCATATAACTCAATTTCAAATTTTCATAATTTTAATTGAGCTTGACTAAATTTAATAGTTATAATGACATGTATAATATAGAAATCATATAAACAACTATGTTTGACTCAAAGTATATTTTAACTAATTATTTCTTTAGAGTTGGAATATACATGTCATTTTTACATAGTATAACTCGTTATCTAAATTTTTTATATTATTACATTGTTATTATTTAATAAAATACATTTGAATGGAATTTAGAAATATTTTTTTAATCTTTGATATTCAAGAATAACATCAAGTTCTGTAAAAAAATACTAATCAATCAAAATGAGATATCTAAATATTATTCCAATTTGGATATCCACTAAGGACAACATATGCTTGTCTAGATAAAAAAATATTTTCATCTAGTATTTTGTGCACAGTTGAAACAAAGCACACTAGTCAAATACAAAAGAATAATGGTGATTCCTTTATTTTAGATCAGCTAAAAATCGGAATCCTATATCATAGACCAGCTAAAATCGACCGTAATTGCATCCTATATTATAAATCAGCTAAAATCAGAATTCCTTTTTGCGCCGCCTATTCTTTTGTGTTTGACCTGTGGCAATTTTGTATAGGAAATTGAGTTCTTTGACAATTACATCTATCAATTTCAAATAATGAGTTTGTATTAAGTTCTATAGCTGACATGTTATTATAAGTAAATTTGTGTAATATTTTTTATAAACGTTGTACTAACTTTAATTTATTGAAAAGTAATTAAAAAAATAAATAAATATATAAGCACCATAAATTCGCCTTTAACAAAACACAATACTTTTTTACAATCTTTAATCTTAATCTTGATATTGATGACAATTGACACAAACTTTTATCTTTAGATAAATAATTTTTTTTCACTTAACCTCACTATCCAGTTAATTCTTTAACAATATATTTACACTGGTCAAAATTCTAAAAATACTACTCCTATCTGGTACCAAATAGGTCCCAAACATCGTACCGGTAAGAGTAAAAAAACATTTTACTACCATATCGGGTACCAGATAAGGGTACGCCGTAACCGTGAAAGTTGTCAAATATAATTTAGATAAAATATTCATATAAAAAGTAGATTCTATTCTTAAAAAAAAAAGAAATTCAGAAATAGCAATTTTGAAAAAACTGGAGAATTAAATGAACCGTGCCTATTAAGTACAATTTATCCGGAACACATTTAGAGGAATCATCACTCACAGATTGATCAATATATATTAGCTATTTTAGGATTTTTAAAAATAGCTTATCTTATTATTAATATGCGATAATATATATGTTATTGAAATTCAAGGAAGTTCGAAGTCGTCAAAGTTCATGGTAGCAAGTGCTAAAAAGAAGTAAAATAAAAGAAATTTACAGTAAAACTGTTATATTGGACCTGCATATAAAGGCAATCAAAAATTCTTACATTTTGTTATATTCGTCAATATTCGACTCGTGTAAATAGCCTCGGGATGTGGAATTGGCATTTCTTTTTTGATTCCTATATTTTGTTGGCGAATCTCTTCCACTTCGTTGATCATATCTTGAATCTCTTGTGTGGGATTGCTACACCACATGGATGTCTGATTGAATATTTCTTTAGCAGTTGGTCTTTTTGTGGGATCGGAATGCCAACATTGTTCCATCAGATCTCGGTAAAACGGTGGTATTTTTTTGGTAATTTCTGGACGATAGCCTCTGCAGATTCGTAGGGCCAGATGAATGTCATGTTCAAATTCGTGAAAAGGTTTCTCTTCTGAACTTACTTCCCACATAATAATGCCAAACGCATAAACATCTGTTGCCTGGGAGTATGAACTACGACCACCCAATAACTCTGGTGCCATGTAAGGCATTACTCCCTTAATATCCTTAACATGACTTACTTCTTTTTCCAAAATAGAAATTCCTAAATCGCTAATGTAAATCCATTCAGAATTTGATAACACATTGCCCGAGTGAAGATCCCTTTTTTTTTTTTTTAAATGATTAAGTTACTTCAATTAATATAAAGGTTCATGAAATAGAATACCATAGCATTCTTTACCTATGAATCAGTCCTGCTTCATGGAGAAACATCATATCTTCAGAAATACATTCGATTATGTCTATCTTTCTTTCCCAGTTAGGTGCTTCAAGTTGTAGTTGCTTGCGTATATCTCCATTTTCAAAATACATCAGAACGAGAAGATATTGGCCAGTGGTTTCATTTTTGGTGAATCCAAAAAGTGTAGTATAAGTGCCATCTGTTTGATAAGCCCATCGTTGTAACCTCTTTGCCTAAAACATACAAATCAATGACTTACATACCTAATGTGTTATGTTTACTTGTAATAAATGTAAATTTACCTCATCCAGAAAACCCTTTGACAGTGATTCGATTGTTTTCAATGCGACATATTCTTCATGAGGAAAACTGCCTTGTTCATGACGACACCACTCATTATTTTCCTGATCCCATTTATGGATCCTTTGTAATTTTCTTTTAGCGCGGAAAACAGATCCATAACCGCCTTGTCCTATTTTTTCAACATCCGAAAAAGTTTCCCATGGATACCATTCCAATAACAATTCACCTTTCCACGCATGAATTTGAGCGTTTTGAATGAAGCCATCAATCTCTTCATTATTCGACGTCCATGTGGGAAAGGCTTGGCGGAAACGAGTGGCATTGCATGATTTACACCAACTGTGGTATGTATTTAATTCATTACACTCTTCACATGAACCGTATATTCTTTCCTCTTCCGTCTTAAAGAAATGATCACCAAGTTTCGGTTCAGTAAGGACATTATCAATAAAATCTTGACGGGCGGTCTCTTCAATTTCATTAATTTCATTGATATGATGGGGCTACATTTAATTAAGTATATGTGAATAAAAGTAGCATAAATAAAATTTGATAATTATGGTTCTTACCTCTTTTCTTATGGTTAAATTCATTTTCTTCCGTTGACGTGTCAATAATGACAGTATCATATAGGCTAATTCAGTTCCAATCATCGAGATAAACCCCAGTTCTAGACTTTTTATCTTAACAATGGAAATGACCTACTGAAGGACAAGCAAATTAATTTATAGGGTAAATTTACCCTTAGACCCGGGTCTATTTTAAGGACACTCTAACTTAGTATTGTTCTATATGCTGAATTAATAAATAAAAAAGATTCATATGTACCGAGTAACATAAAACTTAGCGATAACGTGTGTTTAAATAGGAGCCAGGTATATCACGAGATTTTCCGTTAACTTTGGCCAATCAAATCGTAAATTTTTGTTTGTCAGATCAGCCCTGACGAAGCGAAAAAAAAGGGAACCAGATATCTTAGTGCATTAATAAAAAGCATCGGGAGGCAATTTTACATATAATATTGTATAAAAATTTATAAAAAATATATTTATTATCAAAATTTTAGATGTAGTATATACAAAATTGTTTAAAGAAAAATTTTTTTTTTTTTGAATTAAATTTTTACAGTGAAATTATTATTAAAATTATTAAGTTAATAAATATTTTATATCAAATTCACAATTATTAAAGAATCAGTTGTAAGAACCAATATTACAGCATTCTTAAAATCTACCATTTGAATACCAATCAAGTCTGGTCGATTAAATTTGCTTTCTACAAAATCCACAACAGATTGTTCTCCATGTTCTTTATGATTATCATGATCCCAATAAACAAATGCATGATGATTCCCTTCAAGAATAATTACAAAACGATTGGATGGATCATGATACATAAAACGTTTTTCTCGTTTTGATGCTTGTACAAATGCCAATGCATTAAAAGTAGCAATATGTGTCATTGTTAATGGTGGTGATGAATCATTGGATTCGACTGGATGATTAATGGCGTAAATAATTCCATCCACATCAGATTTTAAACATACGGAAGGCATCATTGAAGTATTATTATTATTATTATTATTATTATTTATAAAATTATCATCTCCATAATATTCGAATTGTTTACAAATAAATTCATGACCTCCTGCAGATGCACGAGTTTTTCCTTCAAGATTTATCCAATAAAAAGTGGCCATATTCCCTTCATAATCAATCGATTCTTCCATCTCATGACTGATAGGTGATTTAAATTTATCAAGTTGTTGATTAGGTGAATTCAATAATTCCGTGGTATATTTTTCTAAGCGTTCACGAAATTCTGCAAATTCATTGGGATCAATTGTTTCAAAAACTCCATCATCATTTTGAAAAATATGTGACCAACGTGTGTTATTATGATGTTTTTCGAGGTGTAATGTTAATAAACCTATTTTTGATTCAATTGTCCAGAGAGACGCGTCTGGATCAATCAAATCAAATAATTTTGTGAATACATAACATGGTAAAGATTTATCATGATGACTTTTATTGTCGTGATGTTGAATTGTGAGAGAAAGGTGCGTCTTTGAAAAATTACAATGAACAGCTGATTTAGGTGTCCCGGGCGAAAGGTTGAAACATACTGTAACATCTGTTGAAGTTTGAGTCCATATATAAGGAGGTTCTTTAACTTGATCTTTATCAAATTTTTCTACTTTTTGTGATTTTACTATATTCGTATTATTATCATTTTTAATTTCATCATCTTTAATTTCATCATCTTTAATTTCATCATCTTTAGTGGAAATCTCTTCAACATTTTTGTATCCATATAAATCATTACTACCAATCACGTAACCATCTCCACTTTGTTCAATACTACAATACTTAGGAATTTCTGTCCCACGAATAACGTGAATTACTTGTATATCATAAGGAGGTTTCAAAGGTATTCTAATCAAACTAACATCAAATAAAGTCTTATTCTTTAAATCATTTTTTGATGAATTTTGTGTGGCAATAGGAATTTTTGAATATTGGGATGTATTATAAACTAAAAATAGTACATGCGCGTTATCTCTTTCTCCTATAATTTTAGCATCAAGAATTACACATGGTACGCGTATTTCCTTAGATTCATCATCAACATGAACATTAAATTCTGTACGATAAATAATTTTTCCATAATAAGAATTAAATTCATTCTTTTCAATTTGAACAAGGAAAATTGTACCATAACCATTTGTCGCAAGTAATAAAGTTGGGGAAAGAGCTTTTAATGAAGGATACTCTGAATATACAATTGAATCTAAATTATCATCTAATAAATGTAAAATTTGTACAAGGCGATATATTGAAACAGAATTCGTTCTCTATATAATAATAATAATAAAATAATTCTGTTAGCAAAATGAAATTCAAAAACCAAAAATTTTTTTTTTTTAAAACATTTTACAAAATATATACCAGGTCATAATACTATACCGAGTCATATTCTACCATGGAAATTGAACATTCCTGATCGAAATAGAAACAAGTTCTATTATTAAAATATGTTTCATACCCAAGGAATAAATGATTGAAGTAAATGCGACTTTGAATTTCTTTATAGGATAATTTGGAATTTGGTGGAATCTTTGGTAAAGAAATTCCTGGTGAAGGTAAAGGAAAACGTTGCAATCGATTGTTTTCATCAAAAAGTTTTAACTTGTAACCTTCAAATTTTGGGTTTAAAAGTGAACGATTCGGTTTTAAAGGTATTGTATAAGGAATTTCCGAATTTTGTGACATAATGTATTTGAAGAGATTGTAGAATTGAATAAATTGAATAAGTGATAAATACTGTATAAGGAAATTAGAAAATCGCCCCAAAAAAAAGATCACGCGCCATTTTTGAAGGATAAAGTTAGCTATTTTAATTATGCAAACAAAATTTTTTTTTCTTTGTAATTTTGCATTAAAAGGTTCGTTTAAAAAGACCAAAACGTGATTAAGGTTGTAGATAGAGAATGACTGAGGCCCCTCCTTTAAACGCCCAAATAATTCGTGGATTAAATGATAAGGTATATGAAAAACGAAAGACTGCGGCATTAGAAGTTGAAAGGTGAGTTGAAATTTTAAAATTCAATAATGTGTACATATATATATTTATATATTCATTTATTAATTTATTTCAATTTCATCAATTTTCATAGACTTATCCGCGAATACTCCGCTAGCAAGGATACAGAAAAAATTCGAGCTATTATTGATAAATTAGCTAACGACTTTGCTTATTCAGTTAACGCGAATTCTCGAAATGGAGGGTTAATTGGTTTAGCTGCCGCGTCGATAGCTTTAGGACCAGTGGGGTTCATTTTTTACATTCATTCGTAAATTTAATTAAAACATCATATTATTTTTTTAATTAAAATTAATTATTTTTTTTTTTTAATAGAACGTTGCTGCTTATTTGGATGATATTGTTATACCGGTACTTTCTTGTTTCTCCGATCAAGATTCCCGTGTAAGATATTATGCATGTGAAAGTATGTATAATATATCTAAAGTATCTAAAGGTGAAATTTTAAGATACTTTAATGAAGTATTCGATGCGATGAGCAAGGTAATAATAGATTATTGTATAATTCTTTGAAGTTTTTTTTTTTTTTGAAAATACATTAACGTCTCAGCGAAAGTGCACTTTTACAATTATTATTCCTATAATATAATATTATCATAATATATCATAATATACTATAATCTACTATAATATATTGTAATATACTATAATATAGTTGGCAGCGGATTCAGAACTTTCAGTAAAGAATGGAGCAGAACTTTTGGATAGATTAATTAAAGATATTGTTGCAGAACAATCTACATCATATGTATCATCATTAGTTTTGGCATCCATGACACATGATGATTTGATGGGACCAGTTTCAATGCCTCGCACTACAGCATTTTCTCTTCCACGATTTATTCCTTTACTTGCTGAACGTATTCACGCTAAAAATCCATACGTTCGTAATTTTCTAGTATCATGGATTACAGTATTGGATTCAATTCCAGATCTTGAACTTGCATCATTTTTACCAGATTTTTTGGATGGACTTTTGCAATTTTTAAGTGATGCGAGTAAAGATGTTCGATATGCTACTTCAGCAGTATTGGCAAATTTTTTGGCGGAAATACGGGAAGCAGCCGAAGTTAAGGAACAACAAAAGCAACAAGCAATGAAACATTATTTCGTGGAACAACAAAGGAAACTTGTTACAGTATCAGAAAATGTTAGTGAAGCAGGTGAAAGTGTTAAAGATGGTGGTAGCGTTAATGGAGATGGAGAAGATACTAATTTAAAATCAACATTAGATGGAGAAATTAACTGGGATGCATTTTCATTAAGTGAGACAGAAGGTAGAGGGAAAGGTTCATGGGTACCTGGACAAGGTGTTGTTATAAATTATATTAGAATTGTTGAAATATTAATGCCTCATTTATCATCACAAGGTTAGTTTTATTATTATTATTATAATAACAATTATTATAATTATATTTATTATCATTATATATTTATTATCATTATATATTTATTATTATTATATATTTATTATTATTATATTTATATTTATTATTATTATATTTATATTTATTATTATTATATATTTATTATTATTATATTTATATTTATTATTATAAATAGAAGAAGAAATTCAAGCAACAGCATTAAAATGGATAAGTGAATTCATACACCTTGCCAAGGAAGTGATCATATCTTTTACACCACAATTAATAAGCGCCGTGTTACCTTCATTAGCTCATTCTGCTTTAAATATCCTTTATTTATTAAATTATAATAAGGTTAATAAAAATAATAAAATAATAATAATGATAATGATAATATCATTAAATATTATTGTTGTTGTGGTGGTGGTGGTGTTTGTATGATTATTATTATCTTTAACAAATGACTTTACATATTAAAAATAGTGCAGTGGAGACAAATAAAAGTCTTTATAAGATGATTCTTGAAACACCAACGAATAGTGTTCCAACATCACAACCACCACCATATTCAGCAATCTCTCGGGAAGCATCATCTTTCTCTTCAACTTCTTCAATTGATTCTTCAATGTATTCTCATTCAGGAAGTCATAGAGAACAACAACAGACCAATTCTTTACCACTAATATATGAACAAGCTGATCCATTTGATTATCAAGCAACAGTTGAAGCATTAGTTCATCAATTTTTAAATGAGCATGAAGAAACTAGAGTAGCAAGTTTGGATTGGTTATTGATGCTTCATAAAAAAGCTCCCAAAAAGGTTTGTTAATTCACTAATCTAACAATTAAAGAGATAAGTTTTTGATAAATATTATTTTTATATATTATAAACTTTAGATTCTCGCAATTGATGATGGAACTTTTCCTGTATTATTAAAAACCTTATCTGATTCTTCTGAGGAGGTAAATATTTACTTTAATATATAATATATGTACATGTATATATTATTTTGTTTTTTTATTTTATTTTATTTTATTTATTTTATTTTTTGTCAATATTCAATCTTTCCTGGTTAAATTAATATTAAATAATTAAATATTAATTTTAAGGTAGTTAAACGAGATCTTCAGCTTCTTGCACAATTATCATCCAGTTCCGAGGATGAATATTTTACTCGTTTCATGGTTGATTTGCTGAAATTATTTAGTACTGATCGAGGATTATTAGAATCAAGGGGAAGTTTAATTATTCGTCACTTATGTTTAAGTCTTAATTCGGAAAGAATATATCGTAGTTTTGCAGAAATTTTAGAAAAAGAAGAAGTAAGATAATATAATATTATTTATAACATTTATTTATAATCTATTTTATAATATTTATTTATAATATTTATTTTTTTTTAATTTTTAGGATATTGAATCTGCCTCAAGTATGGTGCAAAATCTTAATAGTATTCTCATCACATCACCCGAACTCTCTGATTTACGAAAGAGACTTAAGAATCTTGAGACGAAAGATGGTCAAATGTTATTCACGGCTTTATACAAATCTTGGTGTCATAATCCGGTGGCTACATTTTCACTTTGTTTATTAGCACAAGCGTATGAACATGCGGCGAATTTATTACAAAACTTGTAAGTTAAGTTATTATTTATAAGTTTAACAAATAATAATATTATTATTAATTTTTAATTGTTTTTTTTTTGTTTTTTTATTTAGTGCCGACCTTGATATAACAGTGAACCTTTTAATTCAAATTGATAAACTTGTTCAATTGCTCGAATCTCCAGTTTTTACATGTGAGTATTTCTATAATCTAATAAAATGAATATTATAAATATCAACAAAAATTAATTAATTATAAATTTAAATTCTTTTTTTGATAGATTTACGTTTACAACTCCTTGAACCGGATAAATATCCTTACCTTTTTAAATGTCTTTATGGTCTATTGATGCTTTTACCACAAAGCAGTGCATTTGCCAGTTTAAAGAATAGATTAACAAGTGTATCTTCAATGGGATTTTTACATTTGATTCCAAAGAGGTAATGAAATAAAATAAAATAAAAAAAAATATAAATATGAATTTTATTATCTTTTGATTTTTCTTTTAATTTATCTTTTAATTCAAGTAATGAAATCAAAAGATCAAAAACATCATCATCATCTAAAGATGATGGTATAAAATTCCAAGAATTGCTCACCCATTTTAGAGCAGTTCAAACAAAACATGAAAAAATTCGGAAACAAGGTGTTTTTTTTTTTTTTTTTTTTACATATGTATACATATATGCTTTAAAAAAAAAAATAATCTAAAATATTTATATTTATCTTTATTATAGTACTTCAATCACTTGGTCGGGTAGGTAGCCGTAATCGTCGTACGAGAGAACATCGAACCAATCAAACAACATCTGGTAAACACGTTAATAGTGGAAATTCATCATCAAATTCCTTAAATAATCGAAATGTCAATATTAATAATGGTATCAATGGTGTGAGTTCAAATTTAATTTCAAATGGTACGGGAGCAAGTCAATCAAAGAGACGTCTTAGCGCAGCTAGTTCGGCTAGTGCAACAAGTGATCATGGTAATGTCAATATAAATTCTCGTCCTCAAAGTCCGCCAAGTAGTGGAAGACGTACTGGATACAGAAAATGAGGAAATAGGAAAGTCATATCATAATTTTATTAGTGGTATTTAGTAGGTTGGATTTGTAGCATTTTTGATATTTGTAGTAGTATTTGTAGTATTAGCTAACATTTATCTTTATATTATTTATTGTAAATGAAATTCAAATGTAGTATATTATATATATGTTATTATTATTATTTATTTATTTATGTTATATATAAATATTATTTATTATTATAACTAGCTTTTTTTTTCTATTTTCTATTGTACTCGGGAGTAAATATTTCTATATCATTAAAATTTAAAATCTGGAAAAAAGAATTTGATTTCTCTTTTTGCAGTTTCTTCAGAATCTAAATAATTAAAAACAATTTAATTATTATTATGAATTATTATTATTATTATTATTATTATTGTTATTATTGTTATTATTATTATTAAATAATTTATTACCTGAACCATGAAAAGAATTTCTAGTATCAGTTAATCCATATAAAGATCTTAAGGTATTAGATGCATTTATTCTTGCTCTATAGTTGAATTATATAAATAATTTATAGGGTAAATCTATTTGTCACCAGTGATAATTGTCACCACTGGGCAAAATTACATAATCCCCGATCCTAACCCTAACCTTAACTTTGTTAATTTTGCCCAACGGTGACTATCACCAGCGGTGACAGGTATATTTTTTTTTATTTATATATAATATGGATTATAACAAATTATACACACCTGCAAGGATGAGTAGGACCAATCAAATCACGCCAATCTTTGATAGCATTAGGCTTAGAAATAATTAAAGCTACAAATGGACCACTTTGCATATTAAAAGAAAATAAATACCATATTATTTATGATTTACATTATTCATATTACAATATTAGTATTATATACCTTGCCATATAACCACATAATCTTTCATAAAAAAATCTATTTCGATGTTCAAAATAAAATTGTTCAGCTTGACTTTTACTCCATAATATTTTTCTCTCTTTGACTATTTCAAATTGATCTTTTCGAAATAATTCAAATAATTTATGAATTATTGCAGGATTCGCACATAAATCAGGTTTTAAAAGTGCTAAGGATAATTGATTTTTTAATAATGTCATTGAATGAACGAATGAATGAATGAATTTTTTATTTTATTTTATAATGAACGCGTGTACGAAATGAAATATGTAGATTATCTGATAAGCGATAAGTAAAACATGCTAATTTTAGACCAAGTTAAATTAATGCCTTATGACTTTGTAAATCCAGCCAAAATTGGCATAATTAATGTGCATTTAAAGATAATAATTATCAAATGATAAAATTTTAAACTTCAAAAAACTTTAATTTTCATTATCAACAAAAAAAAATGACCGAACAAGAAGAATGGATTACTTCTAGAGACAATGTTCCTATTTATACCAAAACTTGGAAGGTAAATGTTTTAATTTATTCAATTAAATTATAATTATTATTATTTAAATAAAATTCTATTTTTATAGACAGTTAAATCACCAATAGCTACGATAGTTTTTGTCCACGGTTTTGGAGAAAATATTAAACGTTATGATTATGTATTCTCCAGATTTTCCAAAATGAATATTGAAGTTTATGCATATGATCAACGTGGTAATGGCGAAACAGCCTTGAGGAATAAAAATCCTGGTATAACAGGTGGTTTTGAAGTACTCACTGGTGATGTTACTGATGCTCTAGTAGCCAAAAGAAAACCCGGAATTCCTCAATTCTTGATGGGTCATAGTATGGTAAATTATTCATATAAATTATTATTAATTATTAATTATTCTTATTATTAATTATTAATTACTCTTATTATTCTTATTATTCATAATTATACTTTTCATGTTGAAGGGAGGTGAAATAGTATTTAATTATGCATGCGTTGGACCTGAAAAGGATAATTTATGTGGTTACATTATTTGTTCACCATTTTTTCAACAAGGTGATAAAACCAAAAAACCAGCATTTTTAACTTTTACAGTTGTGGCACTTAGTAAAGTGATACCAAATCTCACTATACCTGTCAATCTTGATCCTAAATATTTGAGTCATGATCCGGAAATAGTTAAAAGTTATGTCGAAGATCCATTAAACAATGGAGTTGGTTCTTTGGAAACACGTATGGCAAGAAAAATTTATATATCTCTCTTTTCTATTTTTTTTTTTTTTTGATATCATTCATTTATATTTCTTGTTCATTTATGTTTAATTAATTATAATAAATAATTATTTAATTATTATTATAAAATTATTTTTAGTTAAAGATATGGCAACCGTACCAAAATTTCTAGTAAATAATAAGAAATATGAAGATATTACTTTACCAATTTATTTTTCTCATGGTTCAGAAGATCATATAACTAGCCCCACAGCTTCCAAAGAAATTTTCGAAAAAATTACTGTAAATGATAAAACTTATCGTGAATGGAAAGGACTTTATCATGAATGTGTGTATTAAATAATAATAATTATTTTTTTTATTATATCAAATTTATATTAATCATTCATTTAATTGTTTATCATTTTTAATCACATTAATCATATATCATTTTATCACTTATTCAGTACATAATGAATATGAAAAGGATCAAGTGATTGATGAATACATTAAATGGATTATTGATCATGTAGCCAACAAAACTACTAATTAATTTTTTTTTTTCACTTTTGTCACTATATGTAATAACAATATGTAATAACAATATGTAATAACATTTGATTTGTTTAGTTTATATCTTAAAATTTATTTGTTACATTTGCATTTAATAAATAATGTTCATTATTATACAAAGTACATCTCTCTAATGATATTCTTTCATACTTTTTTAGAAAAATAAAATTAAATCAATTATCTTTTCTTCTTTGTTTATCAATAATGTAAATATTTTTCAATTATATTATTAATTTACAATTAATAATAAAAAATTATAAATATATTATAAAAGTTTCTATATAATAAACATTATTTTTTATTAATAAAATATCAAAATTGATACTAAGTAAAAGTTTAAAATAAAATATATTTACTATATAAATTTCAAATATATTGAATAAAGTCAAATTTGGTATTAAAAATTTTAATTATTTTTAAATTGATAAACTTTTGTTTTAAGATATTTTGATTAAAAATTATCCAATTTATATCATTTTGAACTTTATATTATACAAAAGTTCACAATTAATTGATTTATATCATAATTCCATCCAAAAAATTTTATATTATTATCATCTTATAAAAGTACTTAAGGACATCACCTTTGAACTTTATTTCATCCATTGTTCACTCCAACTTTCTTTTATTTCCCCAGCTAAATCTTAGTTTACTTTGCTCTTGCATTCAGATCCTAATACCAGACTAAACAAGACCATTTAAAGCTTTAGTAAAATATTTATCATTTAATCAAAAAAAATCTATTACAAGTATATTTTTAATAAAGTTATATTCAATAATGTTTATTTTTATACAAATATATATCTCTATACATCTCTCTAATGATATTCTTTAATGATCATTTAATACCTTTTTTAAAAAAAATAAATCAATTATCTTTTCTTCTTTGCCTATTTAAACAAATTAAAATTATATTAATAATTATAATCATGTTTATATTAATTCTGCTAATCAATTATATTGATTAGACTCACTTGATAATATCCAGTATAATATCCAGAAAAATACCAGGCCATTAATAAGTCCTTTAAAGAATCATCATCTATATATATATATATTTATAAATAAATAATTATAAATAAATAAATGAATGTGTTCACAAATTAATTAATTAATATAAAAAATATATATAAAATTTTACCAATCATAGGAGGAATAGGAGGAACTATATCTGGTGTCTGGAAATTAAAAAAAAAATGTTTTTAGATTCATTTTTTTACAAAAGAAAATTAAGTAATAAAAAAAAAGGGATTATGTATATAAATTAATTACCTTTGCACTCCATCTTGGTGGATATTGCATGTTAGGATAATTTTCCTAAAAATTTTTATTTTAAAATTTAAATTAATTTAAATAAATAATAAATAAATGATTTAAATAATTAATTAAAATCTCACTTACTGCATGATAATAATTTGGTGGTGGTGGTGGAGGCATATTTGAATAAAAAAAGTTTGGATGCCATCCATATCCAGCAGAATTAGCAGCTTCAGGCCAATGATATTGTTGACTATCTTGATCTTGCTCATAATCTTCTGTAACTTCTTCTCTTGATGTTTCATTATTTTCTTGTCTTTTTTGAGTTCTACTAGATGATGATGTCATTCCTTCTTTATTCAAATCAGCAAAAGAAGAAGCAGCGACAGGAGGCAGATTATGATGAGAATTATGAGAATTATGAGGGGGAGGTGGTGGTGGATATGAATAATAACCAGGATATTGTTGATGATGTGTATAAGGAGGATATATTGAAGTAGTATAAGTGTTGGGATGTGATTTATATTCTCTACCTCCTGAAGAAGTAGCAGATTTGAATCCTTTGGGAAGTGGAATTTGACCTTTACCCTGAAAAAAGATTAAAATTACAACAAAATAGATTGAATAAATTGAATAGATTAAATGAATTATGATAGATTAAATAGATTACAATAGATTGAATAAGTTAAATAACCTTTTTTCCTTCATTCGATTTGGATTTAGGTAAATATTCCCTTTCTTGTTCAGTACTTTTACCATGTTCTGTTCCTTGATTAAATGTTTCGATCTCATCTGCTAATAAATCCTCCTCCCCCCCCTCCTCTTCTTCTTCTGATCGTTGTTTTAAGTTATTATCTTTATTATTCGATTTCTTTCGTGATGTTTTATTCGTTCTAATATTGTTAATATTGTTAATACTGTTAATTAATTGATGATAATTTCATTATATGCTAAAATATTTCACTTTTTGGACCCGGTAAGATCAAATAAATCATTAAAGTCTTGTTGTTCTTTTGTATCTCTATTTTTGATATTGATTTTATCGTTCTCATCCACATTAATCGTTTCAGTAGCCTTGACACTATGGAAAGACTTTTAAAATAATAAAAATAAATATCCCACCTTTTTATTTAATTCCTTTATTAATTCTTTATTTAATTAATAAAAATGTGAACAATTGTACAATTGAATGTAATATTATTTTACCTGATATTCTTTAATAGCAACATCCCAAGCAGCTATTAACGCACTATCGTCCCAGACATCGGAATTCTTTTTAAATTCGAAAATTTTTATTATTATCCATTATAAAGAAACAATAAAAAAAAAAGAGCAAAATCATAAAATATGTACGTCTTCATTAGTGTCTTTTAGAAGATCGAGAGAATTTTCATGTGAATATTCTTCGTCTTCATACGAATCATAATATTCTACATTTTGTAGTTGTTTATCAGATTCTATAGGATCATATTCTTTGTAATTCATTATTGCTGTATGGAAATTATAGAATCATCTAACTGAAATATATGCACGGTGATAAAAATAATCTCTCAATAAAAATTTCTTTTTGATCTCGAATTGGAATAATTTCTAAAAAAGGCAATGATTTCGGCTAAAATCTTATTACAATTTATTAAGTAATTTTATCTTCATCAAATACACCAGACATATTAATTAAAAAAGTAGTTCTAAGACAATCAGTCGCTCAAGAATGTTTTGGTCTATCGAGGTTTAATAATCTGACGCTAAACGCGAAACTCAAAAAAAATTTTTTTTTTTTTGCAATAAATAAATTATTTAAATTATTACAACAAATTAAACTATTAAAACAGTATTATAAAATAAATAAATATATAATTAAAGACTATTTCTTCTTTTACGAATTCTATTCCTTCCCACACTTTCTTTCCCTTGATTTAATATCTCTCTTAATTTTCCTTCTTCTTTAAACTTTTTCAACATTTCTTTACCAGCTTTGTACCCAGCCTCAAATATCTCATCAAATCTATTAAATTCTAATGTACCATATTGTTGAACCGGTAATTGCATATATAAACATCCCGGTATCGTTTTTGCTTCTTCTAAAGTTTTTACACTTGACACATACGCTAATCTTGATTGTACATCAGCCATCGTCGGCATTGTAGTTCTTCGAAATGGATTAAATCGATTTAATATTACCCACCAACCTGATAATGAATCACCATAATAAACTGGTGATGTATCTTCATGACTTGCTACATCTACCGCAAATATTGTACCGGCTCCCATAGATTTCATCACACTTACCTATATTAATTAATTATAATTTAAAATATATTATAAAAATTATTATTATCGATAATTATTAACAATAAATTCTTGAATGTTTAATACTAACTGGTAAATTATCCAAATATCCTCCATCTACAAGTAAATTACCATTATCACAAATTGGAGGAACATATCCCGATAATGACATGGATGCTCTAACATATCTCCATGCATATCCCCTTTGATGAACTTCCATGCGTGACCATGTGATATTGGTGGTAATGCAAAAATATAATAACCAGAAATCTTCAATTTGTGTATTTGAAAAACTTTTCCAAATGCCTCTATTAAATTGATGACCTAGATAAAAGTAAAGAGAATATATTAATTTTTCCTTAATTTATAAATATGTTTAATAAGAAAAATAATAATAATAATAATAATAATAACATACCTGTAAACCAGGCTGTAATCGGGTATGTCAGATCAGAAACTTGACGCCATTTACTACTCATTCTTGATGCAAATGCTTTAGCTCGGCCAAATATTGCAACATTATCTGAATCACGTGCATATAATCCGCCAATGAATGCTCCAATACTTGTTCCCCCAACCATATCTATTGGAATACCTGCTTCCTCTAACGCTTTAATGACTCCTACGTGTGATAACCCCCGTGCACCACCACCCCCCAAAACAAGTCCAACCGACTTTCCACAAAGACGACGTGCAAGCCTTAATTAAATAAATTATGTCAATTTTAGTCACATAAAATTAATAAATGGCAAAAATCTCCAAATAACTCTTACCTAGAAAAATCACTGCGAACTCCACTGTGTGTTGCTGGTGATTTTTTAAGTCTCCGAGAATAAAATTGTTGTAATTGATCTCTAAGATGCATTAACCTATTTTGGTTAGTTTCTTTTTCCAATATTGTAGGTTTCATCATGGTCATTTGAACATGATGGTGCGCGTGAATCCAAGAACGATTCTATTTACAAATGTTATCATTCAATATTATTCAAATTTATAAGTATAAAGAAAAATAAAACTTTTATCCAAATTAAACATACATTTAACCACCGACGAGTTGTTCCTGGTGAACAAAATCTTTCAGCATGCAACAACACAAGCTCTTTTCGTGCAGTTGTCTTTGTACCTATTAAAAGGCTTTCATATTCTCCAATTGTGGAATTTTCGTCTCCTAACCCAACTAATAAAATACAATCAGCCTGCAAAATATCAAATAATTTTTAATTATATCTTATTTCTTTTTTCCAATTTACTTTAAACAACTTCTTACCTGGCGAATACAAGTTTGATTCCAGGAAGAATTAAGCCCTCCATCTGCCAAATATAATACAATTCGCGAGTTTTCTTCTTGTTCGGCTAACCAACTAATGAGTTTTAACCTTCCCATTTGGGTGAACACATGTTTACCCAATACGGATACCACTGATTCATGATTTAATAGTGTAGCTGTTTCACCTAACCTTTCTAAAGCGGTTTTCAGTTTTTTTGCAAATTCAGTTACGGGAACATTTCCACTAACTGGTAATATGCCAACGGTTTTAAGGTTAGTGTTGTTTTTCCCAAACTCAGTGCCAGTGTTATTATGATTGTATTCCCGATCCTGTTGAAGGCGCATTCTTGACGCAATAATTCGAGAAATTTGCAAAGTAATTTCGGGATGACGATGGGAAAGTGCATTGAATAAAGTTCTTGGCATTCGCGCTAATTCCGTATCACGAATTGCGTGTAGCGTATGAGGACGAGGTGTTCCAGCTAAAAATAATCGAGAATTTTTGTTAAAAATTTACTAAAAAGAAATAAATGAATAAATAAAATAAAATAAAATCATCTATAGAAAAACAACGTACTCATAACATCTAATTCACCCACGCTTTGTCCTTGGCCATATTCTCCCAAAATGTCAATTACACCATTTGGTCGTTCATCAATGGTACGTACACGACCATTTAATACAATATAGATAGAATCGCTTAAATCACCTTTGCGATATAAAACTTGTCCAGCATTGACTTGTACCCAGTCAAGAGCAAAATCAATGTGAAGAACTAATGAAAAATATTACTTGTTATTAATAAATATCATATTTCGAAATTAAAAATAGTCAACCTCATATTCGTACCTAATGGAGATAATAATCTTATTAATCGTTTGGCCAAAGTTAAAAGTACATTTGGATTTCTTTCCATAATACGATTTAATGAATTCTTTGGTAAAAATCCTACATAAGTATCAGTACTTGCTCGAATATTTACAAAAGATGGAAACCCTGTTAATGCGGCTAAATACCCAGCGATTCCACCAGGTTTAATCATGAATAAACTTTTATTATTTGATGGATTAACTACGACTGACTCTTTCTTTTTGTGTTTAGGTTTAATTTTAGTGTTTTTCGTCGATGAATCAGTGGATAAATTTGAAAAGGCATTTCCGAGAAAATCCTTATCATTTGAAGTAACTGAAACATCCAAAAGGCCATCAAAGACAAAAAACAATCCTACACTTCGTTCCCCTTCAGTTACAAGAACAGAACCTTTGGGATAATATAAAATCTCAACATCATTATCTAATTCACTAGTCAATGAAGATATAGTTTCTGCAATCGAATCATCATCAGGAATGTCTAACAATGGGATTGAACCACTATAAGGACTATTATGAGGATATAATGTTGAACCGGAACTATTAGAATCCACAGAAATTGGTCGTGACTTATTTTCAAATATGTTTTTATCCTTGTTTTGATTTGGTTGCAAAAGACCAATCCTCTTCGAGATAGCCTCAAGGACTGATTCTTTAAGGCACATCTCGTCCTCTGCATCATATTCACGATAATTAAATTGAGAACCACTAGTAGGTTGTACACGTGCTCGAGTAGTTGGAGTTTTAAGATATTTATTATCTTTGGTGTTATTATTATCCAAAGAGTCATCTTCAAATATAACATTAGGCCTAGGACGAGCCGATGTCCTGCTTTTCTTGGTTTTATTAATCAATCCACTATCGCTTTCCATGTCCGTTGTACAACTATACTTTTTAATATTACCTACATGTTTCATGCGAAGACGTTCCATGCAACCAGGTCTAAAGAAATCATTGGGAAGACCAAAGCTTGCAACCTCATTCATCAATTTTTCAGTTCTCAAGAGATCTTTTGTTAATCCTAAATATTTATATCCTGTCCAAAAAGTAACGCGTTGGAACCGCGTTAAGATTACTTGAACAATATGAGCCACAGAATTAGGAAACTTTTCTGTTAATCTGCGAAATGCTTCAGCTGGAATGACAGCCAAAGTAGTGTCTACCGTTGCTCTGGCAACAATATTTGGATGAACAGATGTAGTAAATAAATTTTCTTTTGAAAAACGCCTTAAAATTTGTGGCCTAGATGATTTTATATTTGAATGTGTAAAACTATTAATTAAAGGTTCATTCTTTTCTTTAGAGGGTTCTTCCGATTTATTCGTATCAGGATTTTCTGACATTTTAATTTCGGATTCTGCGCTCTCTCGATTTGTAATGTCGCTCTCTGTTTTCTCTTCAGATTTTGTTTGATTTGATTTATTTACATCAGTATCATCATTATAACGAAGTTCAATGTCATCGGTAAATAAAGATAAAATAGTAAACAAGCTTGATAATGTTCCCCCATTTGTAACTTCATTTAGAAGTTGATAACCACGATTATAATCATCACTTTCAAACGGATCAAGCACAATATCTTCTTCATTAGCCGTTTTTACAAATACTTGAACATAGCCATCTACCACAATATAGAAGGATCTTTCTTTCTCTAACATCAAAGTGTCACCAGCTAATAATTTCTTTGTTTGCAATTGTCTTTTAAGTTCATGAAAGATTGGTTTTTCCAAATAACCAAAAACTTTTATCCCTTCTAAAAAAGCGCTTAAAAATTCATCAGGATAAAAGATTTGTGGTTTTACATTTTCATCAGAAACATCGGGTTGTAGATCAAAGGTAGTTCCTTGCGTCTGAAGTGTTTCCGGAAGACGGGAGTATCTAGTGAGAATTAGATATCGAAAGACAAAATATCCTATTGTGGAAATAAGTCCAAAGAATAAAAGTAAAGTAGTAAAATTAAGTTCGAGTGTGAAAGACCAAGATAAAATTTGGATTATCCATTTAGAGAGAGTGATGGTTGTGAAAGAGACAAGAGAAAAAAGCCATCCCGGTAAGGTGTAAAATAAAAAGACTACGATCGTATAAGTATAGATATCTGTTTCATTACTAATTGATAAGGTTTCGCCAATTTCTATTTGTTCCATGTCAACGGGGAAAGTTCAACTAACCTTTTTATATATTCCATATATCAATCAATGATAAAAAATATAACGTTAAAAGTTCTACTGCATGATTACGTTTCATGTCATGTGGTTTAGATTCTCTTCGAACTATATTCGAAATTTATCCTTTCTTTGTAAAAACTTTTATTTTTGATTTTCCACTTTATTTTTTAACTTCCTTATTTTGATTATTTGTTCATTTATTTTATTAGCTTCCTTTTTAGTTATTTATTTATTATATTGATTATATTTTGTTTCATATGGATAATGTTTATGATCTAGCTAAATGTACAAATTATTAATTTAATAATAATTTTTAATTAAAATAAAATGAACATGTCAATATCAATAGGGTCATAATCTTCATAATGGAATGAATCATTATAATGTCAACTATATAACCAAGTTATATATATCTATTTTGTGATAAATATACTTAATTATTTCTAGCTCAATTATTGGATCTCTGATTAATTAATTTTTCAAAAATTAATTTTCTTTTTTAGAGAACAGTAAATTAATAAATATTTTTCAACTGTTACTATTTGACTTGCCACTATAAAAAATCTGCAATATTAAGTACTTGCAAAAATAATTAAGGACACCATCTTTAAAAAAACATAATAATAAAGAAAATAATTCTATCAAAAAAATCAATACTGAAACAACAATTTAATGAACAACAGAATTATAATAGTGTTCTTAAAGATTAGGATTAATTTGATAATCTGATTTGAATTAACATGTCAAGTTACATATAAAATTTTTTATTTTATAAGAGATCAAAATTAAGCAAGTGATTGTTGTTTAAACATTTTTTTGTCCATTTAAAATATAAATACTTATAATTTTTCAATTTTAATGAAATTTTATTCTTTTTTTTTTAGAAGATACAATTCATTCTTATATTTAAGATTATCTAGTATCATTTTTAACATTTATTTATAAAATAAAAAGTTTTATATATAACAATAATCAATAATTAAATTTGAAATTTGAAATTTGAAATTTAGTATTTAACATTTTGAAAAATAATCTGAATAATATGTATAACTATCTCTATACAGTTGATTTCCTTATAAGTACATCCCTTGAACCAAAAATAAAAAATGTGATTATAATGAAAAATAATTATATAAAGAAATTTTTATATAGTATTACTAAATATTGGACACAATGCAAATTTGAAGGTTTTGAAATAAAATTGTCAATATTGACATTAGTGTGCTGCTTCTGCTAGAAGCTCAAATCCATAATCAATTTTTGATTAGACTAACAAAAAACATTTTAATCATCACTTAAATGATAAGCATTTTACTTTTGCCTCATTATTTTTGACATATTTTGGTTAGATTTATTTTATATACTTTGCTTACTGTTAAAAAAACAATAAGAAACAATGAAGGATATAAATATAATAAATATCCTGATCCCTTCTCAAATGTGTTAACAAGCTAAAATACATATTATTTCATTAAATCTAACCAAAGTCTAATCTCTTGGTATCAAAATTTTCCTTGGTATTTAGTGCTCTAGATTAAATTTCTGATATGTGAATTTTATAGCAAAAATAAATTTAACCTCTTGATATTAAAATTGTCCTTGATAGGCGATAGGTTGCAGGCCCGTCTCTCATGAGTTAATTCGAGTCTGACTCAGCGAGTCATATCTTTTCTAACAAACATTAGAATAAGTTGTGTATTTTGTATTATGTAATCTTATATAATGTAAAAAACTTTCTCTTTTTCTAATTAATAAATTTGAGACAAGACCTCGCTGGAACAAAAAAAAAAAAAAAATCAAAATTGTCATTAGTATTTAACGCTTTAAAACAAGTTCCTAATATGTAAATTTTATAGTAAAAATAAATCTAACCTCTTGATATCAAAATTGTCCTTGGTATTTAACATTTTAAAACAAGTTTCTGATATATAAAATATTTATTCAAGCTAACAACTATTACAATATTTCTTCTCTTCTATATTTATTAGATGAAAATATTTCCTGCAAAGAATAATATTAAGATTTGTAAGCACGTCTTTATGGGTATCTATTATTTCCTCATAAGTTCTTTCTCTATAAATATCCATTATTTCCTCATAATTTCTTTCTCGTATATTTGATCAAAGTCTATTATAATATTGAGCAACATAATATCCTCTAGTATGTAAAGGGCAATGACCAGAAATTGATCCAATAGATTTATCACAGTCAAAATATAATATCTATTTTTTAGCTTTCAAATGAAACCAGTACCCTCTGGTCAAATATAAAGTTTAGAGTAAACAATACTAGAGTTATGAATATATAGACATGAATACTTACCAATCATTTTTGAATAAAGATAAAAATTAATTATTTAAAGAAAAGATTTTGTATAAGTAAAATATAACGCAAAAGTTAGATTTAATATACTATATAAAATGTCAAATATATATTCAGAACTATACATGTTCCCAAAATTGATTTTGGATTTTTGAGGTATTTCGACTTTTTGAGATTTATGCAAAATCTATTC